GTCTTCTCTTCTTCGCATCTTCTCTGTACTGTCCCTTATTTCTGTGTAAGTTTGCAGCAGAAGAAAGGGACACAGCTTGCTGAGATTTGGTGTTTATTTTTCTACTTCCAAATAATCTGAAGTTTGGGCATTCTCTTTTAGTTATGCAGATGACATGGGTTTTGTGCAGTTTTGTTATCTATTTTGTATTCAGTTTTATGGACAATGAGTTCAGATTTATGCTGCAATGGCTGCTATTATCTTGACTACTCAAGAATTCTACCCCTAGCGTTATTTTGATAGAAGTGTGGTCATGCTAGTGGTAAAGAACCCACCTGCCAATGCAAGAGACTTTAGAGATGCAGGTTAGATCCCTGGATCAGGAAGATCCCCTGGAGGAGGGCATAGCAACCCACTTCAGTATTCCTCCCTGGAGAATCCCATGGACAGAGGAGCCTGGCAGGCTACAGTCCATGGGGCTGCAGAATCAGACACAACTGAAGTGACTTAGCACAGATGCACATGCCCTCTGCACCAGGAATTTTTAAAAGAAAAACAACGTAATTCACTCAGGTTTTGCAAATAAAGGAACAACCTCATTTTCTTTCCAATACTTTGTCCTGGCTTAGAGGAAGAGGGTTGCTTATGGTTTGGAAATCTTTTCCTGAAGAATGAACATAAAGTTATTTACTTCGCAAATATGACAAATCCCTATCTTTCCCATTCCAGGAAGATTCAGAAGAGGAGGGTAGTCTTGAGTCTGATCAGGTCTGTGACTCAGGCTCTTCCTATCTCCCTTCTCCTCAAGTTCCTATGCATCAGAGCTAGGATTGTCCTTTACTCCTGGGAGGGCTGGTGGAGGGAACAGTCACCCAAAGGCTTTCCTAATGCTTGGGTTCCTTGTAAGACCTGCCCATTCACTCCGTTTACCATAGAATTGGGAGCAGCCAGAGGGTGACCTCAATAACTACTGAGGCCATCCAATACTGCTAAATATCTGGATTTTGGCTTTAACTTTGAAGTAATAGAACATTAGGACTGTTCTCATCATGGTTCACATCCCTGTCTACCTTAATCCTCCCAGTAATTCCAAACCCTCAAGCTGTCCACTGTCACCTGAGGTTCTGTTCCCATATTGCCAGTATGTCCATCGCTCTGAGCCAATGCCCCACTCTTTACATTCCTCTAAAACACTTCCACTGAGCCCTTTAAAATTCTCTTTTTAAATATGTCCCTTTTTTTTTTTTTAATGAGAGTTCTCTGCTTCTAGTGTCTGCTTCTCCCATTTGAACAGAAGTAGGCAAATTCTGACCCATGGGTAGCCCACACTCTAAGAATGGTTTTTACATATTTAATGGTTTTGTTAAATATTCAAGAATATTTCATGACACATGAAAATTACATGAAATTCAAATTTCAGTATCCATAAATAAAACTGGAACACAGTCACTCTCATTCATTTATGTATTATCTATGGCTGCTTCAACACTACAACAGCAAAGTTGAGTAGTTATGTACGGCCCACAAAGCCTAAAATATTTACAGACAAAGGTCTTCTGACAACTGCACTAGAATGGAAATGCCATGAGACATTAGGTCAGGGACATTGATCAGGTACATTGTTTAGTCCTTCACTTCCAGGGCCTACTTCATAGTTCTGTTGAGGTTCAGTTGCTCAGAAGGAAGATCCCCTGGAGGAGGGCATAGCAACCCACTTCAGTATTCCTCCCTGGAGAATCCCATGGACAGAGGAGCCTGGCAGGCTACAGTCCATGGGGCTGCAGAATCAGACACAACTGAAGTGACTTAGCACAGATGCACATGCCCTCTGCACCAGGAATTTTTAAAAGAAAAACAACGTAATTCACTCAGGTTTTGCAAATAAAGGAACAACCTCATTTTCTTTCCAATACTTTGTCCTGGCTTAGAGGAAGAGGGTTGCTTATGGTTTGGAAATCTTTTCCTGAAGAATGAACATAAAGTTATTTACTTCGCAAATATGACAAATCCCTATCTTTCCCATTCCAGGAAGATTCAGAAGAGGAGGGTAGTCTTGAGTCTGATCAGGTCTGTGACTCAGGCTCTTCCTATCTCCCTTCTCCTCAAGTTCCTATGCATCAGAGCTAGGATTGTCCTTTACTCCTGGGAGGGCTGGTGGAGGGAACAGTCACCCAAAGGCTTTCCTAATGCTTGGGTTCCTTGTAAGACCTGCCCATTCACTCCGTTTACCATAGAATTGGGAGCAGCCAGAGGGTGACCTCAATAACTACTGAGGCCATCCAATACTGCTAAATATCTGGATTTTGGCTTTAACTTTGAAGTAATAGAACATTAGGACTGTTCTCATCATGGTTCACATCCCTGTCTACCTTAATCCTCCCAGTAATTCCAAACCCTCAAGCTGTCCACTGTCACCTGAGGTTCTGTTCCCATATTGCCAGTATGTCCATCGCTCTGAGCCAATGCCCCACTCTTTACATTCCTCTAAAACACTTCCACTGAGCCCTTTAAAATTCTCTTTTTAAATATGTCCCTTTTTTTTTTTTTTAATGAGAGTTCTCTGCTTCTAGTGTCTGCTTCTCCCATTTGAACAGAAGTAGGCAAATTCTGACCCATGGGTAGCCCACACTCTAAGAATGGTTTTTACATATTTAATGGTTTTGCTAAATATTCAAGAATATTTCATGACACATGAAAATTACATGAAATTCAAATTTCAGTATCCATAAATAAAACTGGAACACAGTCACTCTCATTCATTTATGTATTATCTATGGCTGCTTCAACACTACAACAGCAAAGTTGAGTAGTTATGTACGGCCCACAAAGCCTAAAATATTTACAGACAAAGGTCTTCTGACAACTGCACTAGAATGGAAATGCCATGAGACATTAGGTCAGGGACATTGATCAGGTACATTGTTTAGTCCTTCACTTCCAGGGCCTACTTCATAGTTCTGTTGAGGTTCAGTTGCTCAGCTGTGTCTGACTCTTTGCGACCCCATGGACTGCAGCACGCCAGGCCTCCCTGTCCATCACCATCTCCTGGAGTTTGCCCAGGTACAAGTCCACTGCACCCTGGACATGACAACGGACAATATAATTATTAAGCACTAGTTAACTAGTTCATAGCTAGCACTCAATAATTATAGGTTGAACAAACCTTCTCCCTCTCCTGCCTACTATCCACATCTGAGGGGTAGGTGGGCTTATCTCATGCTTATTCCCTTCTAAGACCCAGTTAGAAAAATTAGGAATCAATTATTATTGAGTCCGGGAAAGTACATTGAGAATAGTACTGTGTTTTATTTATCCATTTTGAAATACCTAGCAAAGTCTCTTGCCCAAGGTAGATTGCACTTGGAAACCAAAAGCACTCTTGGGGTTATTGTTAAGAGAAAATTAGTGCATGCAAAGGATTTAGAAGAACCTCAGGTGTACAGAAGTATTCAATAAATGTTTGCTCCTACCTCAGTGTTCCTTTCTGTAACAGGAATAACAATACAGGACTGTCACACAGCTAATTTAAACAAGAATGCTCTGTGTGAAACAGCTTCGTAAGCCATAAATACCATCCAAAGGCACAAACATTCCACTGCTTGGCACTGCATTGAGCAGCCCAGTTTGGAGGGAAGGGCCTTCATCTAGAAGTGAGAAAACCTAACTAAGCCTCTTATCACTATGAACTGACCCTCAGTCAGTCAGTCAGTTCAGTCACTCAGTCGTGTCCGACTCTTTGCAACCCCATGAGCCACAGCACGCCAGGCCTCCCTGTCCATCCCCAACTCCCAGAGTTTACCCAGACTCATGTCCGTTGAGTCAGTGATGCCATCCAACCATCTCATCCTCTGTCATCCCCTTCTCCTCCTGCCCTCAATCTTGTTCATGGGGTTCTCAAGGCAAGAATAGTGAAGTGGTTTGCCATTCCCTTCTCCAGTGGACCACATTCTGTCAGACCTCTCCACCATGACCCGTCCATCTTGGGTGGCCCCACACGGCATGGCTTCGTTTCATTGAGTTAGACAAGACTGTGGTCCTGTGATCAGATTGGCTAGTTTTCTGTGATTATGGTTTTAGTGTGTCTGCCCTCTGATGCCCTCTCACAACATCTACCATCTTACTTGGATTTATCCTACCCTGGACGGGGTATCTCTTCACGGCTGCTCCAGCAAAGGGCAGCCACTGCTCCTTACCTTGGATGAGGGGTATCTTCTCATGGCCACCCCTCCTGACC